ATATATATATATATATATATATATCATTTTTTAGTCACTAGTATATTGTTATAAAAATTAGAAGAAGAAAAAAGTTTATAAAACTGTGAAACAAAAAAAAACGACTTGTATAAGAAACAAAATAAATAAAGTAAAATAATCAGATGAGTTGGTATAATTGGTAGGTATTTTGTATTTATATATTGTAAAGATTATCTATTTTGTAGTATGTTCGATTTTTATCATGTGCAAAAATTTATTAAGTTAATAGAAATACCATAAGTAGGGGTGACAAAATAAGCTAATCCGATCAATTTTAGTTTGCCATGCTACCGGTTCACCTATCAAAAGAGGGCTAGCAATATGGTCCAACCCGTCAAAATTATTTTATTTATTTTTATAATCAATTCAAATTAAAAAAAAACATTTTTTTAATAATAATTGACACATTTAATCAAAGTACCTATTACATAAATTTTTCTTTCAACTTCAAGATTATAAAACAAAAATAATAAATTACAAATTATTTAAAGTCTCTACTTTTCAATCAAGATTACTATTAATAGTCTTTTAACACACAAAAAAATATAGTATTTCTTAAGAATTATAACGCAAGTACTAATAATCCTTCAATAATAAGATCATACCACAACACAATGTCATATATAAACAATGACGAATCTAGAAATTTTAAGTAGTGAAGATAATATTCATACATAAATTTATAATATTAAACATATAATTCCACATCTTTTTAAAATATAAATATAAATCAAGTTATTCTTTATGAGATTTCATATTTTAAAAATATTGAATAATTTTCTCATTTTTAACACTTTCAAAAATATTTCTTTTTATATAAATAACTTAACAATTGTTTAACCATTTATATCCCATATCAAAATTTTGACCCTTTTCTTTTTAAAAATAGAATAACATGATCCTGACGCAATCATGACTCCTTAATATTTTTACTGACTTAACTTAACTATAATTAGCACTCTTTTCATCCAATGTATCTTCATATGTTGTTTCATACTAATCAGGAATGAACAAACACTATGATTAGTCTTCTTTACTATAAATAATCTAATACTACTTTCTAAAGAATACTATGAAGATTATAAATGAAAAGAAAAAGTAATTAATACTTGATGGAAGAGCATGGGCCAAAGGAGCATTAATTACAATTATCACATTTTAATTTTTTGCCACGTGGAAAAAATCCAAACGGCGTTAAACAAATTTTGACGGAAGGACCACATTGAAACCAATTAATTTATTAGGGACTAAATTGAAACCAATTAATTAGTTTGGGACCAAATTGAAACCAAAAATTAAAATGGGACTAAATTGAAACAAAAAATTATTATAAGGGACCAAATTAGGTTTTTAGCCAAGAAAAAAACATATATACAACATGAACCATCAACAACAATATATATCATCATATCTTCATTTCATCTTCAACACTACCAACAAAACAACATCACAACACAAGTAAACTATATATCAACACGAACAACTTAATATATAACTACACAATAATCAACTTTAATACCACAACGGGAACCATACAGGGTCTTAACACTCAACAAGGCATTTTCAACACAATATATACAATACAACATTAGGTACGTCATCACGTACTTCAACTAGGAGATCTCTTTCAACATAGGGTGAAAAGTTTAAGTGGCTTTCCCCTACCGAACTAACAACAGAAGATGATCTTTTTGACTTACTAGCTCAACAACAATTTGGATATTAATCACAACACAACAACTTGATTTCTCGATGTTGTCACTTAAACAAGGAAGCATAGTACTATTATCAGGGTAGAACAACTAGGTTTAGGCCTACCACAACATTAACTAGCTTAACTTAGCCTCCTATGCAATTAGCCCACTGACTACCTTCTAAATACTACACTTTTTTGATACTCGGTTAGAAACTAAGTTCTTAACTTTGTATTTTACTCAGTTGGTCACTTGTAATCAGTATAATTTGACCTAACTCATATACTATGGTCGTTTTATATGTGTGTGTCTTGACCTTGTCTAGCCATGGTACCAACTAAGTCCTAGAGGAGATTCAACACAACTACCCACTTCAATGGTCAATTTCCCAAAATTTATTTTCAACAATAAGCTATTAGAGCACTACAACATAATATTCTTATAATGGAATATTTAACTTTTTAAAAATCCCTCTTATAGTGCTAAGTTGGTCATCACAACTCAAAAACACTATGCTTAAATGCCTAAAACATTCTCAGCATTCATAATTTTAAGAAAATAACAACATCATGCATATATCTATTTCAACACAACTACACAACCACATAACCTTCAACTCATCTCAACTTTCAACTAACAACTCATACAGAACCATAACATACACATTATTCATGCAACTCATTCATCCTCATTTAGTCATCAAACAACTCAATCAACAAGTATTTAACAATTCATCAAATCAATTAACATTTCTTTAGCAACCAATGCCCGATGCCACACACCCAACGCTTGATGCCATCCAAGTAGGAAACTCTCTACCTCGCCCACGCTTAGTGCTACACAACCTACACTCGGCATGGATAAAGTAAAGGCCTCTGGATCCTCGTGCCCGACATGATAAGGTACCATGCTTGACCTCATCTCAGGTAAGGAGTTTTGACTAACTTATGCTTGGTGTCACCATACTAATGTCCAGTGTCATCCAAATAAAGAGCTCTGGTTTGGCCATGTTGGGTGTTACTCAACCTTGGGCTTGACGTTACCAAGTCAGAAACCTCCTAGTATCCTCATGCTTAATGCCATTTAAACCATGCTTAGTGCCAATTTAATCCGAGACAAGTCTTTCTCCTCAAGGTCAATGCCTTGAAAGCACACCCAACGTGATATCAGAACTCTACATGTGCAGAGTCCAATTTTGACACAACTTGAAACTCAGCAAAGATCCAACACATGCAACATCAAACAACAGTCATACACATTACAACCAACACATATACACTTAAAATCAACATGCAACCACAAACAAAGGACTTACCCTATTAGAACAACACAAAAACGTCGCTTCTTCTTCTTCAATGCATGCGCCTTCTTCTTCTTCTTCAAAACCCTAAGAAAAACTTTATCTCCAAACAAACTAATGAATCAGACTTCTCTCGTTTTCTCTTCTCTCTCGTGCGGTTTTGGCACAAAAAATACTCTTTCCACGTTGGAAATCCACGTCAGCATTAATTACAATTATCACATTTTAATTTTTTGCCACGTGGAAAAAATCCAAACGGCGTTAAACAAATTTTGACGGAAGGACCACATTGAAACCAATTAATTTATTAGGGACTAAATTGAAACCAATTAATTAGTTTGGGACCAAATTGAAACCAAAAATTAAAATGGGACTAAATTGAAACAAAAAATTATTATAAGGGACCAAATTAGGTTTTTAGCCAAGAAAAAAACATATATACAACATGAACCATCAACAACAATATATATCATCATATCTTCATTTCATCTTCAACACTACCAACAAAACAACATCACAACACAAGTAAACTATATATCAACACGAACAACTTAATATATAACTACACAATAATCAACTTTAATACCACAACGGGAACCATACAGGGTCTTAACACTCAACAAGGCATTTTCAACACAATATATACAATACAACATTAGGTACGTCATCACGTACTTCAACTAGGAGATCTCTTTCAACATAGGGTGAAAAGTTTAAGTGGCTTTCCCCTACCGAACTAACAACAGAAGATGATCTTTTTGACTTACTAGCTCAACAACAATTTGGATATTAATCACAACACAACAACTTGATTTCTCGATGTTGTCACTTAAACAAGGAAGCATAGTACTATTATCAGGGTAGAACAACTAGGTTTAGGCCTACCACAACATTAACTAGCTTAACTTAGCCTCCTATGCAATTAGCCCACTGACTACCTTCTAAATACTACACTTTTTTGATACTCGGTTAGAAACTAAGTTCTTAACTTTGTATTTTACTCAGTTGGTCACTTGTAATCAGTATAATTTGACCTAACTCATATACTATGGTCGTTTTATATGTGTGTGTCTTGACCTTGTCTAGCCATGGTACCAACTAAGTCCTAGAGGAGATTCAACACAACTACCCACTTCAATGGTCAATTTCCCAAAATTTATTTTCAACAATAAGCTATTAGAGCACTACAACATAATATTCTTATAATGGAATATTTAACTTTTTAAAAATCCCTCTTATAGTGCTAAGTTGGTCATCACAACTCAAAAACACTATGCTTAAATGCCTA